ACTGGGTTGAACTGGCCTTGCTGCCGATGGTGCTGCCGCAGCGTAGGTGTTGGTGTTTCTTCTGCTGCTGCAGCACTGGTGGTATTGGTGTTGCTTCTGCTGCTGCATTGGTGCTGCTGCTGCAGGTTCATAAGAGCCTGCAGCGCATCCGAGAGCGGCAGCTGCTGCAGTTCATCCGCTGGGCCCCCGCCTCTCCCCAGGTTGTGTTGGCCCGGGCTTCTCCATTCAACCCGCAGAAGCACAAGTGCGCGGGCTTGATGCTAGCGAACCACACGGCTATTACAAGTGTACGTTTTCTGCTGCAGTTGCTGCTGCTTATGAACCTCCTGCTGCTGCTGATCGACCTGCTGTTGCTGCTGCCGCTCTCCCTGCTGCTGCTGCTGCTAGTGTCCCTTGTGCTGCTGCTGTTGTTCTCCTTNTATGTCTCCTTTGCTGCTGCTGCTGCTGCTGCTGCTGCTGCTGCTGCAGCTTTTCGAGCGGTGTGTGGTTCAGTACGACCGCCTCTTCAAGCGCAAGGCCTTCCTTGACAACTACAAGTAACTACGCTGGCGTCCTCTTGCTGCTGCAGTTGCTGCATGCGCTTGCTGCTGCTGCTGCGTAGTTGCTTGTGCTGCTGCTGCTGCTGCTGCAGGCCACAGTGTAGCAGCTACAGCAGCAGCAGATGAACCAGCAGCTGTCGCTGCATCTATTATGTTTCTGCAGACGACAGCCCATGTTTAGCAGCCCTGACGGCATTGGAGACTTCTCAGAGATGGAAGACTCAAAGTGGGGACTGAGTTTCTTTGTTGCTGCAGCAGCTGCTGCCGCTGCTGCTGCCTGCTGTTGCTGCTGCCTGCCAGTTGCTGGCTGCTCCTGCTGTTGTAACAACTTTGCTATTCTTTGCTGTTGCTGCTGCTGGTTGCGCAGGGAGCACGTGTTGAGCTTGGTAGAGGAGTATCGGCAGGCTGAGACAGACGACTTCCTTAGCTTTGGCGGTGGGCTGTGCTGTGTGCTGCTGCTGCTGCTGCTGCTGCTGCTGCCGTTACTCCTGCTGCTGCCTTTTCTGTCCCTGAGGCGCCCGAGAATATCATGGTTGTCTGTCTTTCGAGTGGTTGCTGCCAGTAGTTGAGGTGCTGCTGCAGCTGCAGTGGTTGCTGCTGCGGCAGTTGCTGCTGCTCTATCGTATCTTGCGTTTCTGTTTGCTTACTTGTTGCCTTGCAGGTACGTGCCCCATATGACCTCCCTGTAGCACCCTCTGCAGCTTGCAGCGGCTGCGCAACCGTTAGCAACGACAGCAGCAGCTGCTGGAGCTACAGCTGCTGCAGTAGCGGCAGGTGCAACACCAGCAGCAGCAGTGGAGGCGGTGATGCCTCTTTTGAGCACTGCGTTACTAAACTAACTTCGGTGTCGAAGGGTGAAACAAACTCTGACTTTCTCTCTGTTCTCTGTTTTGTTTCGCGTTGCAAAGTTGTTAACTCATCCAGTGGTTATGGTGTCTGCTTTGTTTCTTTTTTCTCTCTTTTCGTTTCTTTCGCTGATTGTCTCTGACTGTCTCTGCGTTTCGTTAGTCTCATTTCCACTTCTTTTATTTGAATCCCCCAGAGTGCACTGCTCTATCGCGATTGATTCTGCTAGGAACAGACAAACAAACCGGGAAATTAAAAAAAGGAAACAGCCGCTGCTACTAAGCAGCAGGCTGCATCTCCCTGCTGCTGCTGCATCTCTTTAATCCGCTGCACTAAGAGCGGTGGGCTGTGCCCGCAACAGTTGCTAGGCAAGCAGGGGAGCGACATGACGCCAAAGAAAAGCTACAAATGATCAAATCTTCGAACCTTTTAGCGTCGATGCCTGGCGTGTAAATATAGAATGACACTTCTAATGCAGTTTTTGTTTCTCTCTCAGAGGCCATCTCTGCCCCAGAGAACCCCTTGCTAGGCGCCGGCAAGCGACGCGGCACACACTTCCCTTGAAAATGTACTATAGAACGTATATATGCAAAACAGGAGAGAAGTATGTATGCGCAAGAGAAAAGATATACGCGCACAAATACGGAGAAACATTCATACATATATGAATAGGGAAATACTCACTTCTGTTTGATTCCACAGCAGCGTGCTGTGATGCACAGGCAGTGACAGGTGCACCAGTACACACTCAGCACTTGCAATCACCTGCACAGAGAACCAATCTATCCACAAACGCTAGTGAA